ATTTGTGATTTCATGTATAATTCTCTTTCTAGCTCTGTTTTGCATGTAAAAATGTTCTCTCTCCTTCTCTGTCTGTGTGTGTGTGTGTCTTTCTCTCTCTGTTTCTCTCTGTCTCTATTTCTCTGTGTCTCTGTCTCTATCTCTGTCACTATCTCTGTCTCTATCTTTCTGTTTCTTTGTCTCTCTGCCTATCTGTCTCTCTGTCTCTCTGTCTCTCTCTCTCTCCCTCTCTCCCCCCTCTCTCCCTCCCTCTATACGTGTATATGTATGTCCCTTGAATTCAGAATGAAAAAAAAAGTTTCTTTTAAAAATGTCTTTTAACCAAAAAAATTAAGACTATATGATTCTTAAGAGTAGAGATTGTTTCATTGTACTGGAACATAGGAGGTGCTTGATAAATGATGTTAATTGTAAAAAAAGAAGAAGAAATGACCCCTAAAAGTAAAGTGTTTTTGTACTCATATTAAAAGGCTCCTCTTTCCATCTGAGAGCAAGGTAGTATAGTAGACAGTGCACTGGATTTGAAGTCAAACGTTCTAGATTTGAATCGTGGCCCTGATACTTAGTACATACATGACCTTAGAAAGTCCTGTCCCCTTTCTGGCCCTCAGTAAGATGAAGGAGTTAGATGACCTTCTAAGGTCCCTTCCAGCTCTAAATCTATAATCTTATGATGAGATGGCTACTACAGTCCCTCCGTCTTTAAATCCTGTACTCTCCTGACACCCCTGGATTACAGAGAAGAAAAGAACTTTGTCTAAACCCATAGGACTGAAGAAGAGGAGTGAGAATCCATGGCAACAGAGCATAGCTTTGGAACCATAGGATGTGTTCCTGTGACGTTTAGTACTTAGCAGGCATCTCGCTTCTGGAAACAAAAACTTGGCCATGCAGGCTGGGCGCCATCTCTGCGGAGCGAAGAGACAGGGAGAGAGAACATTTCCATATACAAAACAGAGCTAAAAAAGAGAATTATACATGAAATCACAAATTTGTATTACAGCTTGCTTTTTTAAAAACAAAAGCATATAACTGATATAATATGTATAATATATATATATATATACATATACATATACATATATGTATGTGTGTGTGTGTGTGTGTGTGTTTATTTATTTATTTATTTATATAATGCTTCTGCTGACTTGGAGACGTTGTACATGGGTGGGTGCCATCCTAAAGCTGAAGAAGCCACCCTGGGCCCGCATGCTGTTGGCTATGATGGTGCTGGTGAACATGGACAACAGAAACCAGTGGCTGTCTTAGCACAAGGAGTAAAGAAACTATATATGATGGAAGGACCTGCTTCCAGTTTCCTGTTTATGATGGGAAGTTCAGGTTTCATGATCCTAGACTGATCCACTGCTCCAAATACTCCCAAGCTCATCAGGTGATTTCTTCTATTCATCGGCGTCATCTGTGTCCTTTCGAATTTCTTCTTGGACAGAATGCTCATGAGAATGAAGCTGCCTATCTACTGGGTGAGAGCCCCTTTTTTGTGAAGATACAACAGTAATTGAATTCATTCCTTTTAATGACGTTTCAAAGGCCATCCCAGAACAAAACTTGGAACACAGATTGTCTGTCTCAGAACGACACGAAGGAAAGGTCTGGTGTAAAAATGGAAACAGTTTAATCCATCTTTTAGAAAAAACCTTGTTGGTCTCATTGGCATGATAAGCTAATTAATGATCATAATAGTAATAACACTGTGGCTCTTCCATGTTGGCCTACCACTCATGTTAAGTAGTCATATCTGTCTTCTTTGGTTTTTCCCCATTTCTGAGAGAAAATATTTTTCCTTGTATAACAGAAGTGTGGGGCAAAGTATTTCATTCTTTTCTTACAAGCCCATTTGTAAAATTTACCTTGCCATGAAAAGACACTTCTGCTGAAGATGTGCACAAGTACATTCAGGGAGCTAGATAACTCGATCGAGGGCATCCGCTTTGCCTGGACCCTACATTGTTTTAAGTGTAGCTCTCAAAGTTGGTGATCTTATATGAGACTGCATTCCCTAAACAATAAGATGTGTGAAAGGAACCAAAATAAATCATTGTTTCTACTGGAAAAAAGGAAAGAGGACTTTCCGCTACTCCCTACTGTTAGGTGGTGTCCTGGTAGCTTAGTGTCTAGACTACTGGAAATGGAGTCAGAAAGACCTGAGTTCAAATCATGCTTCAGATATTCACTAGCTATGTGACACTGGGCAAATTTCCTTTTCTGTAAAATGACAATAATGATAGAACCTACCTCCCGCGGCCAGATGAGGATCAGATGAGGTGACATTAAAGCATTGTGAAAACCTTGAGGCTCTATGTGAATGCTAGTTGTTATTAAACATTTTCCTGATGCTTGATGCTTTTTGATACGTCCCTCTCCCTTTCCAGCAGCTAGGTGGCGCCGTAGTGCACAGAGTGCTGGGCTTGGAGTCAGGAAGACTCATCTTCCCAAGTCAAATCTGGTCCCAGACACACACTAGCTGTATGACCCAGGCAAGTCACTTAACCCTGTTTGCCTCAGTTTCCTCATCTGTAAGATGAGTTAGACAAGGAAATGGCAAACTACTCCAATATCTTAGCCAAGAAAATCCCAAATGGGGTCACCAAGACTCGGCCCCAACAGAAACAAGTGAACGACAACAATTCTATTTCTAATGAAACTTCTTTCCACCCCCACCAAAGAACCCTATCATAAATGACACGGAAGTATAATTCAGCAAAACACGCTGGCCACATCTGACAACTTCTGCCTTGTCCTCCACCTAAAGCCCCATGACCTTTCTGATGAGAGGAGAGGAGAGAAGGATACTGAAGTCTATCCTCTCAAGTCAGATCGGTCTTTTAGCCTCCTCTGAACACACACACATACACACACGTGCGTGCGCGCACGCGCACACACACACACACACACACACACAGTTCCAGTGAGTCTCTGATCTACTAATCAGACTTAAATATCTAGTAGCCAGCACCTACCTGGCAATTCTGATTTTCAGGCCCTACCTCTTTTTAAACCAATCAATTATGTTTCACCACATCATAAAACATCCCAATACACTCCCAGTCAAATCCTCCCTCTGTGATATCCAAACCACGAAAAGCAAAACAGCCTAAAAGAATGACTGTGATGGACACTGCCTGCAGGTGAGCATTTGTTTGTGGAACTTTGTCTCCATTTCAAGTGGCCTTTACATACTTGTGTATTTGGTTCATTCTGCATCCCCACAGGTCCACACACACTTCTTGGAATCCTTCACTTCCAGCCCTCCTCATACTACAGTGTTACTCCTCAGCCGTAATCTATTTGGTTGAGCACATGATTTGTTTCCAACCTTTATAAATAAGGCTACCATGAATATTTTTGAACAGTTCTGTGCGTTTTGATTGTACATGACCTCGTTGAGTTATGAACCCAAGAGAGCTACTGTCATTTCAAAGGATATGAAGCTTTTAGAACTTATCCTACATAATCCAAACTTGTTTTCCAAAACAGTTGGTAGCTAGTATTTATAGAGTACTTTAAAGATCACAAAGCACTTTACAAAATATCATTTGACCCTTACAACACCCCCGAGAGATAGGTGTTATTATTATTCCCAATTTATAGATTGGGAAACTGAGGCAAACAGTTTAACTTGCCCAAGGCCATGTAGATAGTATCTGAGACCGGATTTGAACTCAGGTATTCCTGATGCTAAGACTCTATTCACTTCACCCACCTGCCTGCATAGTTCTAACTTGCAGTGAATTATATATCTATGTTCCCACATCCCTACCAGTATTTAATTTTTTCATCTCATCAAGCCCTTCCAACGTCAACACAGAGAGTATTAAAAGTGTTGGGCACTCACAGTTCCTCAGTCATTATTGGCACCGTGCACGTGCTCTGCTATGCCCTTGTCTCACCTACAAGCAGATTGGACTAGATCTTTTCCTCTCCTGCTCCTTCCAACTAATAGCTATTACTAAGACCCCACTCCCCCAGTGGCATAGCCTCATCCCTGGCCACCCTTTCCATTTCTGGATGCATCTGGCTCACAGTTTTTCTCTCCTCCTTAAAATGAGGCCATTACCATGAGCTCTCTCTTCTCCCTCTTCTTCATTTCATATCAATCAAATGTTTTCTGCCACTATCTCTCAGGAGTAAGACGCTCTATCTCCCAACTCCAGGCATTTTTTCTGGCTGTTCTCCCATACCTGGAATGCTCTCTCTCCTCAACTCTACCTATTAGCTTCCCTGCTTTCCTTTTAAGTTCCAACTAAAATCTCATCTTCTACAGGAAGCCTTTCCTAACCCCTCTTAATCCTCTCTTAATTATCTCCTATTTATCTAGTATAGCTAGCTTACTTGTAACTCCTTATTATCCAGTTGTCTCTCCTATTAGATCGGGAGTTCCTCAAGGACTGCCTTTTGCCTCTTTTTATATTCTAAGCACTTAGTACATAGTGGTCACTTAACTATTTATTGATTGTGTATACATACACACACATATATGTGCATATATATGTGTGTATATATACATATACAAATATTCTTCATGCATGATTCCTAAAGCATACCTACTCTTCCCACTGATTTTGTATGTATTAGTTTATTAGTATTTGCATGTATTTGCCCTGGGTTTATAGGGGAGATGTTCCTTTGCAACTTTTATTTCTATACTAATTTATTAAAAGCTTCTGCTTTGGGGAGAAGGATAAGAAGGAAAGGTCTTGCCAGAGCAGGACTGGAGTACAGCCTCTGACAGCTGCTCTTATGATAGGCATTCCCTCCATCCTTTCCATCTACACATTTGGGTTTATTTCTTTAACCCCTTTGGCACCTAAGATCCAGAAAATGCAGGGGGAGGACAGGTAAGTGTTGAGCAGCAAGGGGTTATAGCTATGACCTTAATGCTTCCAGGTCTTCACATTCATTTTGGGTATGGCCACAGTGAGATAATGATTTTTCGGTTCTAACCCGCTCACTCTCCTGCTCTGTCCCTGTGACCTCAGGTGACCTTCCGCAATGAAGTAAGCAACGAGTACCTCTTCTACTTGGTGACTTTCAAGGTCCTCCCCAGCGGAATCATTAAGACAATCGAGATGAGTACCTTTGTTCGGCAGAGCACATCAGCCTCCATCAAGGTGGAAAACCCCCTCCCTTACTCTGTCGTCTTCACCACAGACTGCCGAGTACCTGATATCAGCATACCCTCCCAGTTCGCAGTACCATCCAATTCAGAGGTATGGAGCACAGCCACATCTGATCTGGGGCTGTTGGCATCTGGGCTTTTTGCATGTGACATTACCATTCTTTGATTGGTTAAGATTTGGAGTGATTAGACAAACAGTGGGTTCATTTCTTTAGAGCAAACTTTTTTTCTCGCAATTCTAGTCCTGTAGAAGTGGTTAAAGCTGCTTAATAATGATTGAAATGATCAAGAAATGGACAAGATATGAGGCTTTGACCACCTTTTTGTGGGGGGAAAGGGGAGTCTGTTTTTTCTTTTAGTACCAACCATTAGTGATGTTCCAGGAATAGGCAAACCCTCCACCAAGTAAGGTTTGGTGTCTTGCAGTTGGAGTATACATGGAATGAGCTACTTGGACTATAGCCTCTAAGTTGCTGTGAGTTAATATGAAAAAGACATTTTATTAGATGAAGAGGTCACAGATATAGGAACCCAAGATACCTTAGCTTGGAAAAGCAAGTCATTGAGTCCCCAAGGCAATCCCAAGCATATGCCATAAGGAACAAGCAACTGTCACCTACTTGAGGACAGTCATACCTTCTCTGGGCCTTAGGGTTTCTCCCAACCCTACAGTAAAGAAGGCTAGAGTTCTCTGCTTGACCAGAACTTCTTTCTTCTCCCTCAGGGTATGGTAACATTTGATTTCCAACCTCTCAAAGCTGGAGAGACCACTGGGCGACTGAGTCTACACCAGGGTGATTTAGGCACCTACCATTACGAACTCAATCTTAAAGCCATCCCAGGCCGGCCTGAGAAGCCAGTCTACTTCCAGGCTGTCCTGGGTAGCAGCCAGAATGTCAATGCTAAGTTCATTAACTACACCCGTCAGAAGGCAGAATATTCATGTAAGGTGAGTGACCTGGCCAGAAGCTCGGGCTCCAAATGATACATTAAGAAGGGCACAGAAGCACTAGGAAGCTAAAGTTCAGAGAAACTTGGACTTCTCTTCTCACACAGGCACCTGTGGCAGGTCAAAACTAGACATTTCCAGAGCAGTTTAGCCTAACAGCAGGTTAGCACCCAGTCTAATGTCTCCTTCTATTCCCTGGCCACCACTGGTCTGCTCAATCCACCAAATGGGAAACACACACACACACACACACACATACACACACACACACACACACACCCCTCCAGTTTTGTTGCCCCCAGCAGGCTCAGGGGGTCACTTCAGACTGATCAGGTGGAGAAAATGCCAAACCCACCCCTCTACAAGCAAACCAAGCCTTATCTAGTTCTACTGGTTTTTTGGTGAGTTAAACATAATGGATTCAAGTCCACTGACTAGAGAGTAAACTTCATTGACTGAGACCAGGTTCTGGATGGGAAAGCCTTAATAACATAAGTAAAAATAAGTAAAATAAAAATAACTACTCAGTAGGATAGACACTAAAAACAAATACCCAATGAGAAATCTCCAGCATTGGCTTCCTCTTCCCTTTCTTCGAGGCCAGAGGGGTCAAATTCCAACAGAAATGGGGCCACTGACCTATACAGAAGGCATCTCCGTGGGCTACAGCTTGACTTAGAGAACCATAGAGATTAGCTATGTTTTATCGAATTTTTATTTATGTTGTGAAATATTTCCCAAAGACGTTTTCATTTGGTTTGGGGGCACTTGGGAGTGTTACGGAGGAGGCCGCATATTTGACATCTCTACTCCGTCACAGTATGAAAGTAGGCCATCCCAGGGACTTGTTGCATTTAAAATTCACACAGTTTGAGGCAACATCCACAAAAACAAACACTGAACAAATTTGGGTGATGCCAGGTCACAAGGTGGTTCACCCCTACTTCCTTTTACCATCCCAGGAACAATGTAAAGATTAATGTTACCCTGATGGATCTCTAGGAGGAGTCAGCTCTTGGACAGATCTGGGATAACAGGATTAAAATGTGTTCTCTTGCATCTCAACTCACTAAGGGATCTCCAAGAATGGATAGATACTCCCCATCTTATTTCCCTTTGTGTACTACATTCCTTGTCAGCCTAAACACTTACCAAGACTTTCTCTCTGATTCTGGGTCCTCTACATGCTCCCATTTCAGACTGACAACCAAGATTTCCACGTGGAGAAGATTGTCTGTGCAGCACCAGGAGCCCAAGGAGGCATTGAAGTCAATGTGGAAGTCAACTTTGAACCTAGCCAGCTAGGTGAAATAAGGGGCATGCTCTATCTCTCCTCTCCCGTGGGAGGGGAATACACTATCCCACTCATTGGACTGGCCCAATACCCCAAACCCCAGGGTCCCATCCAAATCAAAGCAGGTTCCAACACCATCATCCCCTTTAAAAATGTATTCTACCACCAAATGTCCTATTCCTTTATTGTAGAGAGCCAATTCTTCTCTGTCAAAGCCCTTGATACAGTGCGTGCTAAGAAAATCAACAACATTACTGTCTCCTTCGAAGGGAACACTTTAGGCCAAAAATCTCCCATTACCTCCAAGCTCATTGTGTCCTGCCTCAATGCCACCGGCAATGAAGCAGGAATCCAGTGGATCTATTATCTGAAAGGGGTCACCCCATAGAATTAACCAGGAGTCAATTGCTTATAAACCAACAAAAGCCCTTTTCCTTGGCCCTCTGGCACCATCAGTATTTTGTGAACTCTTAGACTCCCCACCCCCACCAAAGCCCATCCTCCACATAGTTCCCTCTTCCTAAAGCCCCAGGCTCTTGGCAGTGAAGAAAAACAGGGGGAAGATGAAGTCCTCTTAAAACTCATCAGCTGTTGACCAAATTCACTAGGGATTATATGTGTCAACCCTGTAGGGTTTTTCCTAACAAAGAATAACAGAAATTGGGGAGTATAAATGCAGTATCATAGCCCTGTTTTTCTTCAGAGTATACAAGCACCCATCAAATACAGTATCTACTCACAGTCATATGAAGATTTAGTTTGTGGTTTTTTTTATTTTAAATTTCAAATGATTTGGTTACTTATGAATTGTAGACTTTTCTACAGATTTCTGGAAATCCCCTTCCCCTCCCCCAAACCCAACTATCCAATAAAGATATCAGTTATTAAGAAAATATTGTGTTACTACCCATAAGCCTCCATTCAGTAGTGTATCCCATCACTCAGCATCCCAAGTGGCCTCCCACCGGTATCTGCATGCCCTTAGCCAGCGCTATGCATGTTTAGACACAGTATGAACCCAAAAAACGGTCAGATTATTAAAAAAAGGGACAAGTCAATGCCCTGCCTTCAAGCAAAGGTGTTTTGAGGGGAGAGGGGAGTTGCACTAGGGCCTGCCCACCTGCTTGTCATCTTCAAGCCTGCTTTCTAGTTCTTATTCCTCTTAGGCCTCCAGCTATCTCCATCCCCATCAAAGGTCATCCCTGGAAAATATCATGGGTCCAAACTTGCTGCAATGTAGCTTCATTCCCTGTAAGTCATCTACCAAACCTGCTGTGTGGCCCAGTGATGAAAACTGTGGAAACAGGGGAGCATGAAAGCTCTTTGTAGCCCTTGGATTCCTGGAGCCATTCGTGGGCCAACTGGAATTGGGTGGAGGTCTGGTGGGCCAGACCCTGTAGTGGTGAAAACCCTAAGGGAGAAGGCCAGGAGCAGAGTGGCTTCAAAGGCAAGAGTCTGTCCCCTTGACTAGTGAGGCCCAGGTATCTCCTCCTCGCCTTAGGTCATAAATCTCCTTCCAAAAGGACCACACACCAGTGCCATATTTCGAAGGTAGAGCTGGTTTGCAGAATTAAAGAGCAAATATCCAGGTCAGAAACTTTTAGCAACTATTACAACACTAATAAGCACAAAAGGATGTACATTGCCCTGTGTCATCTGACACATCACAGCTTTCCCCTAGGACCCAGGAGGATGACCAATGTAAAATCTTCCATCATTGTATTTCCTGCCAATTTGGGGGCAATCGTCCATTCTCCTGGTCATTTCCCCAGTACACACCAGAATGTACTTTTCTGTTGTCCCCCCAAAACAGGCTTTGAAATAAAGACGTTTAGGTCAATCCTAAGCCTGGGGATAGCTTTACTTCATTCACAGCCAGAGACAGAAGAGATGAAGGTTAGGAACAGAGGCTTCTAGGATGAGGGAGAAAGCCCTGGGCCTCTGTAAAACCAGCAGCATTAGCATCCCTAATCAGAACCCCAGACTGGGGTTCAGCTAAACGGCATTAAACATAATAACTTTAAGCTTTAAAAAGTGCTTTACAAATATCTCATCTGAGCTTCACAACAAGCCTGTGAGGTAAATACCCTTACTATTCCCATTTTGCAGATGAAGAAGCTGAGGAGAGGGTGACTTGCCCAGGGTCACACAGTAAATATCTGAGGCAGGATTGGACTTCCAGACTCCAAGTCTGGTATCTTATCCATTATAATGTTTAGCTTCCTAAGTGAACAAAAAGAATGGGGATAGGTCAGGGAGGAAGACAACAGGGCAAATCCCTTGGTTTAATTCTTAGCACCACATCTGACCTACTTTAGAGGCGGCAGTTATATGGCACTTTGGAAGACTTCCAAGAGAAGGTACTTCACAGTTCTAAATCTTATCATTATACCATGAGCCTAATAAATTAGGATTGGGCAAGCTAAGAGCACAACACTTAGAGGCACAAGAAGGAATTCTTTAATATGACTTCTTATAAATGCATGAAGCGCCTGGGTAACTTTTCTAGTTCTGAGCCCCCACCCAAAGATCCAGGAACTTCAGAATCTGGCAGCCCCACTGAGGCTAGTTATCAGCTTCCCTCCTAAGCACCCAGGCTCACAAAGCTCGAAAGAGGAACAGTTTTATTTACACAGTAATGAAACAGGACTCGGCTGAGCCCAGAAAAGTAACAATTTCAGGGATGGAGGTGTTTACTAGCCAACCTGTTTCTCTAATGCACTAAACTTTGATCTACCACCCCCCCACAAAAAAGTAAAGCTGTTGATACTCACCAGTGAGCAACACCCTCCCAAGAGACCCACAGAGCCTCAGTGACTTGCAACACTGTTGCAGGCAGGACTCCAGGACTCCAGTACTCTGGCTGGCTTTGATCCTCCACATTGACAGTACCGGCATAACACGATGGCTTTCTGCAGTTCCTGACTCCCCACTACTTGTAGCAATGGGTCTCTTTTCTGAAACCCTCCTCAGGTTTGGGCAGGTAGTTTGGGCCATTCTCCCCGATGTCCTGCAGATGGCACTCATTGCTTCCCACAATTGGGCCATTCAGAAAGTGCCCAAGGCTAGGAGGAACACTCTCTTCATACCTCACAGACTGGTCTCTTTCTTAAATGCCTGATGATTCAGCACCTTTTACCTTTGCTCTCCCTCTATCACCAAGCACTCCGCAACTCCTTCAGCTATTCAGAAATTGTTGTGTTCAGTCTGTCCAACTCTTCATAAACCCATTTGGGGTTTTCTTGGCACAGATACTGGAGTGGTTTTGCCATTTTCTTCTCCAGGTCATTTGACAGATGAGGAAAGTGAGGCAAACAGGGTGAAGTGACTTGCCCAGGGTCACACAGCCAGTAAATGTTTGAAATTGGATTCAAACTCAGGTCTTCCTAACTCCAGGCTCATGCTCTACCCACTGAACCACCTACCTGCCCAGGAGTCCCCTATTCAATTCCAACACCCCCGTCTTCCCCTTTGGCATATTATTCAAATTACCCCAGGCTGCTTCATGTAACTTCTAGAAAAGAGAGATGGAACTTGTGAAAAAAAAAAAAAGCTTTGCAGTTCCAACTATAGACACATCTTTTTAATGCCAGAAAATCTGACTTTCCATGACATAATAACTAATATTTTAAAAGTTTGCTAACATTTGCAAAGTACTATCCATACGTTACATATTTGACCCTCACAACAACTATGTGAGGTAAATGCTATTATTCCCATTTTACAGATAAGAAAACTAATCTCAGGTAACCATCATCACATGGCTAGTGTGTGTCAGAACTAGGATTTAAAGCCAGGTCTTTCCTGATTATTAATCCATCATTTTCACTATACCATGGTGCTGCTTACCACAGATCTCACTTTGACTTTTCCCTTCCCCTATATTATTACATTACCCATCCTCAAGGACGTAGCAGAAGAGAATTGGTCACAGGCCCCTAATCAAATGAACCTCCTTCCCTACCTCTCATCCACTTCATGAAATAGATATAAGGGGCAAGGCACAGTGACAATGAGATATTAAACCATTCACCATTTAATTACATTCATAACTTGTAAAGGGCAAGAAACCTTGAGTAGTCCATACCCTGAATGACTTATTCATAGGTTGTAAAAGATAAGAAACCAGAAGTAGCCTCTTGACTCTCTGGAGAGGGCTCACCCCTTTCAGAATTTGATGGAGTAAAACAAAGTATTATAAGTGTCAAAATCAGATGTTCATGCATTTTATGTTTGATTTTACTCTGTAAGTGATTTTATTCTGTAACCATATTTTTTATTCTATGTAACAAACCGAAGCCCCTTCTCTGTCTCTGAATGAAAAAGCTCTTGAATTCAAAAGCTCTCTGTCTCTGTCTCTGTCTCTCTCTCTCTCTCTGTCTCTTTCTCTTTCTCTCTCTCTCTCCCTCTCCCTCTCTCTTTCCCTCTCTCTTCCCCCCATCTCTCTGTCTTTCTCAGAAGTCAGACACCAAAGGGTTAAGCTTTCCCACACTTGCTGTTAGTTAAAGAAAAATTCTTTTCTCAATACTTTCATAAAATATAAAGCCTTTTTAAAGGACCGCACCACTCACCTTCTGGTGTGAGGAAGGAACTTGAAAAGGTACTGTAAAAATTGTCTGCTTGACCTAACCTAACCCTAGCCTGCTTACTTCAGCAGGCACGGATTCTACCCTGCAGTCAAACCACAAAAAAAGTACAAAAACATTTGTGAAGATGATTCCACTCACCACCTGCTTAAGAATAACATGAAATCCAGTAGACCTGAAAGACAAACAGCTCTTGTGATAGAGCTCAGCAGGTATTACATCCAGATAGTAGCCCTGAGTAAAACAAGGCTAGCAAATGAAGGCTAGCTTACCAAAGTCGGAGCTGGATACACATTTTTTTCTGGAATAGCTACAGAGATGGGGAGCACTGTGAAGATGGCATAAGTTTTGCACTCAAAACTAATCTAGTCAACAAGCTTGTATGCCTCCCAAAAGGAGTAAATGACAGGCTCGTGACAATGTGATTGCCACTTGCAGGAAAGCACCAGGCCACCATCATTAGTGCCTATGCTCTCACCATGATGAACTCTGATGAAGTCAAAAAAAAATTTTATGAAGACCTGGAGACCCTCATCATCAGTGTGCCAAAAGAGGACAAGTTTATAATTCTGGGTGACTTTAATGCCAGAGTAGACACAGACTATCAGACATGGCAGAGACTCCTCCTTGGGAGGAATGGAGTCAGAAACAGCAATAGCAACAGTCACTTACTACTGAAAACTTGTGCATCTCATGACCTTCTCACTACCAACACTGTTTTCTGTTTACTTAAATACAATAAATATTTGTGGGTGTACCCTCACAGCAAACATTGGCATTTAATGGACTATGCCTCTTAAGAAGAGACAGACACCATGTGAGAGTTGTGAAGGTCATGTGCAGCAGGGAGTACTATACTACTCATACATGGACTTAACCTCTCCAAGTTAAGTATTCATATTCAACAAAAGCAGCAGCCCCAAGGCAAGATTATTAGACTTAATGTCAACAGATTAGAGCACTTCCCTGTGCACGAACAGTTTGTTGCTAACTGGGAGAGAAAGCTGAGCCAACATAGGGTTGGCAACAGTGGAACAGAAAAGGAGTGGACAGATTTCAGAGATCTGGTGTACAGCATTGAATTTACCCACCTCTGCCAGAACAATGACAAACATCAAGATTGGTTTGATGAGAATGATGGGGAAATTCAGAAGCTGATAAATAAAAAATGAGAACTCCACAGAGTTTACCAGCAGGATAATTCATCCATCTCTAAGAAGGCAGCATTTAATTCCATCAGAGTAAAGTACAGGGGCATCCAGGTAGTACAGTAGATAGAGCTCCGGTTTTGGAGTCAGGAGGACCTAAGTTCAAATCCAGCCTCACACACTTGACACTTACTAGCTGTGTGACCCTGTGCAAGT